CGTTCACCGCGTTGAACTGGTAGCCGTAGAAAAAGTTGGACGCAAACGAGGCGGGGATGAGGCAGAGCATGCGCCAGTCAAAGATGGCGGCGTAGAGCCCGCGGATTTCAATCATCGCGGACGCGGCCTTGGGGTACTCGACCTGTGTGCCGTCCGAGCGAATCACCGTCGACGGCGCCTTGAGAGCGAGCGCAAGCGACGTGCCAATGGCCATGGCGCAGATAAAGCCAATGTACGTCGCGTTGTTGACGCTGGAGGCGGTCGAGTTGTAGTTGAAGCCAAAGGGAATAAAGCCACCGAGGACACCACCGAGGTTGAAGACGACCCAAAAAATCGAAATGAACTTGCCCTTTTCGTTTTCGGTCGGGTACGCAAGCATCATTGTGCCCTGGGCCGTCCAGAGGAGGCCGGCGCCGATGCCGAGAATCGCGCCCGCGACAATCACAAACGTGCCGTTCTGCGTGTAGTTGTAGCTGAGAAGCGAGCCGGCATAGAGAGCGTACGTGCAGCCACCCACAAAGAGCGTGAGGCGCGGGCCCAAAAAGTTGTGCACCGAGCCGGCAAAGACCGAAAAGCCCGCAAAACACGCGTAGAGAGCCACGTTGGCGTTGGAGCTGACCTTGTCGTCGACCTGACCGCCGCCGCCGAGACCGTTGAGCGCGTTGAACATACCGGGGCAGCCGAAACAGATGAGGCCGAGAAGCAGGATCTGCGCAAACGAGTTGGCCTTGCCGGCATACTTGAGGCCGCCTTCCATGGCGTAGTCGGCCGTCGGCGTCGCGACCACGTCCGTCGTCTTGTTCATCGTACTGTGTTGCGTGCGAGGCAAAATAGAAAGTGAGCTCCACATTCCACCTCGCTTCGCCGCCTAGGTGAGGTCGTCGAAGTGCAAACCCAACTTCAACCGGCTTGATACGCAGACTCGTCTAACGTATCCCCAGGCCTTGTAATGCACGTAATTCGAAGCATCACCGCCTTGTCTCATAGCTGCTAGTAGGTACCACCATCTGTCCGTGTCCCTTCTTGACACGTGAGAGTCGATCTTTGGGATCTTGAGCTTGCCCTTGCATTTGTTTCTATTTTCGGTGCAATTAATTATTTGGTGTTCCCGCCACAAACCGACGTGTCCCGCGACACCAACTTCAACTTCAAGTTGGTCATGGTCCCACCTTTCGCGAGCACGGGGCGGTAGCAGCATTTGGTGCCTGGAGCAATACTTGTCGACAAATAGGTGCGCACAATACAGTCATTAAGAAAGAGATGAAGGGGAGCTTCCTACATGTACGGTGTGGGGCCAGTATAAACGGTTGTCATCTATCCCACGCCGTGCAGTGCGCGGCCTCTCATAGCACTTGCTTGAACTTGCACCTTGCGTGCGCAGAAGCCGTAGAAAACAGCCCAAATCGACTGTCTGACGCACTCAGCTCGTGGCGAAGGAATGGCCACGACAGCGTCGACGTTTTCCAGCCTCTCACAGCCACAGACACACATTACACTGGTTCATTGGTCTTTATTATTGACCCATGACTGGTTCTGGGTCGTGCTTGAGCCTGGCGACGTCTCCTAAAAGCGTTATGTAGTGCACGTGAGGTGGTGGATGAGACCATCTACTGTGTAGCAAAGCCACGGATGCGTGCAAGCGTGTCGATCCATCACTTTTTTACTTCGTGTGCTGGATCACCCAGGCGCCACGAGTCAACAAGAACTACTGCGTTTGCAAGAAGTGGCGTAAATTCTACGGTATGCCCACTGCTACCTATTCATACGTAAGACTGGTGGGTTGAAGATACTACAGTACTACTAGCTCTGTTTTAGCGAGTTCATGGAACGCAAGCATACAAACTCCTTGGGGCCGATTCTCTCTACGCCGTGCCATCAAAAATACCCTCGTCCTCAACACTCCTAGCAAATCCAAATGACACGTCAAACGAGTTGTTTGATTCACCACAAAACAAGAGTAACTAGATCGCACTAGCAACGCGTCCGACTTAGTTGGAGAGCTTGCGGACGACGAGGTACATGAACGGGAACGAGATGGCCATGAGCGCCCAGTTGATGATGAGCTGCGTCATGTACGACACTTCGAGCACGTCGATACGCCACGAGATCGCACCGCCCGCGCTCTGGAACGCCTTGTACAAGCCCACAAAGCGCGCGAGGTCCATCGGTTCGTTGGACATGGCGCCAATGACCCAGTAGACGTAGTTCTGGTAGACGGCGTCGACCAACCCGTAGAGCATGTAGACGATCATGGGGAAGGCGGCGCGGCTGCTCTCGGTAAAGTCAATGTTCTGCTTCGGGTCGTCGCGCGTGTAGTCCTTTTGGACGATGACACCGAGGATCCACGCGAGGAAGGTGAGACCCGTGGCGATCGCGAGACCGACCTTGCCGCGCGTCGCACGCGAGACGGACTCCTTGTCCATGACGTAGTTGCCAAAGATAAAAGCGCCGACCATCTGCATGCCCCAGTACAAGACACCGTTGAGACCGCGCGTCCGGAGCGAAAACATGTGCGCGTTCACCGCGTTGAACTGGTAGCCGTAGAAAAAGTTGGACGCAAACGAGGCGGGGATGAGGCAGAGCATGCGCCAGTCGAAAATGGCTTCGTACAAGCACTTGATCTCGTCCTTGACGGACGCCGACTTGGGGTAGTCGACCTGCGTGTTGTCCGAGCGGATAATCGAATCGGGCTTCTTGAGGAAGAGGGCCATAGCGGCGCCGCACACCATCAAGATGAGGAAGACAATGTACGTGGCGTCCGAGACGGCCGAGCTCGAGTCGGCATTGTAGTTGAGAATGAACGGCACGAGCGCACCAATGACCGCGCCGAGGTTGAAGATGACCCAGCAGATCGAGATGTACTTGCCCTTCTCGTTCTCGGTCGCATAGGAGAGCACGATGGCGCCTTGGGCCGTCCAGAGGAGGCCGGCGCCGATGCCGAGGATACCGCCGGCGACAATCACAAACGTGCCGTTCTGCGTGTGGTTGTAGTTGAGGAACGAAGCGACGTACAAGGCGTACGGGAGACCGCCGAGGAAGAGCGTGAGGCGGGGGCCGAGGACGTTGTGGACCGAACCGGCGACGATCGAGAAGGACGCGAACGTCGCGTAAAGAGCGACGTTGGCGTTGGAGCCGGCGGTCGCGTCGACTTGACCGCCCGCACCGAGACCGTTGATGGCGTTGAACATGCCGGGGCAGCCAAAGAGGACAAGACCGAGGAGGCACACCTGGATGTATGCGTTGGTCTTGCCGGCAACCTTCTTGCTGCCTTCTTCAAGGGCATAGTCTGCAGCGGGGGACGCAACCTTGTCGGCCATCGGGGGCAGGCGCTGGAAATTGAGAAGTGAGGAATTCGACGCATGAGCAAATGCAGTGTCGGCAGTGTTGAAGCGGCGTCTTTTGTTGAATGGGGTGCGCTCAGATCTCAGAACCAGGCGCCGTGGTCAGTTGATGCAGTTGTCGAGTCGAGTTGTATGGTTATCAAGCGCTTCGCGGAGACGATCGCGGCGTCGCCATCCCACTCTATCGCGCCTGTACGCGACTTGGGGATTCTCATTCTCTATATTTTCTGATCCTGAGCGATTGGTCAGGCAATTTTGCGTTGCGGGTGCGTCCATAAGATTGGAAGAGTTGGAGGTTGACTGTTGGTGGGTCCATCTATCGCGTCCCCACTTGACTGTACCAGAGGAGCCACCAGAAGAGCTACCCACAGTAGAGCCACACGCAATGCGTGTACATATCCTAGCGGCCGTGATGTCTCCGACACACGCTCTCCTATAGCTTTTGTCCACTGGTTTCGACATGATCCCTAGCGGCAACCCTATTCCACGTGAACGCAGGCGAGGTGTCTTGGCACAGCATTTGTTGAGGGGCGCTTGACTGATTTACCTCTACAACAAGAAAGTCGCGGGGTATCCCCGAGTATCTAGAAGCTTCAAAAAGTTTTATGCTGTTCAGATAGGAAGAAGTATTTGCATCCGCGGATGGCCACCACGCGACAGCTACAAGGCGGCGCCGTCAGACATGCAACCATCCCACCACGCCAACGCAGCGCTTCGTCTTGCGCGACATGGATTTCAGCGAGAGCGACCAGTCCCGAGACTGGTTGACGGAGACGCTTCTCTGTACGAGGCTAGTGTCATAGCATGCTAGCTCCACGCAGCCAGCCCAGTGGCAGTCCAACGGGCCTCCCTTAGAAGAGCTTCATTCTACTACATGTATGGCCGCTCGCGAACAGGATAGACGTGGGCATGTACCATTCATCATAACGAGGTGTATGTTGCTGCAAAGTGCCTTACGTGGGCATGTACCATTGCAAGGTATTGTGTGCAATCGAATACCCTTGACCCCCAGCCTGTGCTCTGATGTGGGTCAATTCGATCCATTGCCAGCGTCTCCGAGTAGATGAGTGGTGAGGTACACGAATAGCGGTGCTCTAGCCGACAAAATATGAATACCTTGCCGATGCTCGGATTGTCTCGACACAAGCATTACGCCACAAATTCTCGACTCTTTTCGGTCACTTCCATCTGTTCAGCATCATGGTACCACCACCATCCTGTTGAAGAACGACGCGTGGGTACCGCATGTGGCGTCTGCGGCTGCCACGTCATGACGCGAATAAAAAGGCAAACTGGTGTAGAATTGTAGGGTAGAAAAAATGATCGCAGCGAGATGGGTAGTGTTAAAGTACAGTCGGACAGATTACGGGTGGTCCTTGATCATGCGCTCGTGCGTCTCGTGGAGGCCCTTGAAGTACTTGACGGTCTTGACCTTGAGCTCGTTCGTCGCGTCTTCGTCGCAGACAATGACCGACTTGTTGTGCGTCTGGATGGCCGAGACGGTCCACATGTGGTTGACGCCCTCTTCGATGACCTTGTAGAGCGCGTAGGCCTTGGAGTGGCCCGTGATAAGCACGAGCACCTCGCGGGCGTCCATGACGGTGCCGACGCCGACGGTCAGCGCCATCTTGGGCACGGTGTTGATGTCGCCGCCAAAGAAGCGCGAGTTGGCGACGATCGTGTCGTACGCGAGCGTCTTGACGCGCGTCCGGGACACGAGCGACGAGCCCGGTTCGTTGAACGCAATGTGCCCATCGGGGCCGATGCCGCCGAGGAAGAGCTCGATGCCGCCAAACGACGCGATCTTGGCTTCGTACGCAAGACATTCTTGCTCGAGGTCGGGCGCGTTGCCGTTGAGAATATGGACGTTCTCGCGCTTGATGTCAATGTGCTGGAAGAGGTTGGTCCACATGAACGTGTGGTACGACTCGGGGTGGTCCTCGGGCAACCCGACGTACTCGTCCATGTTGAAGGTCACGACGTGCTCAAAGCTGAGCTTGCCTTCCTTGTGGTACTGGACGAGCTTCTTGTACGTCGTGAGCGGCGACGACCCAGTCGGGAGGCCGATGACAAATGGACGCTCGGCCGTCGGCGCGAACGCGTTGATGCGCTGGCGCACGTAGCTGGCGACCCAGTCGCCGACCTCGGCGGCGTTCTTCTGGATGATGAGGCGCATATTGTCGAGTTGGTGCAAAAGTGGAAATGAGTGTGACCATCCGCCACAAGCACCGTCCGTGAGACATCGACGGCTTCGACCAGGTGGCCCGCGCCGGCGGCCGCGGCCAGAGTGGGATGCCCACGCGGTGTGCGACGATGACGCAGGGTATCCGGATCCGGAATCCCGTCCAGATGCGGCGCCCATACAAACGGCAATGTGGCGCTGCCACGTGGTCGGACTCAGCACAAGGAATCATCCCCGGGCCCTTTGCAAGCGCGGCCTCGATTACTGTACGTCGAGGCCCCTTACCTCGCCGCCGCCATCGTCGACGTGGGTCTTTCTGGGTCGAGGTTGACGCCGTGCTGTGCGCCACGCGGTGGGCTTGTTGGGCGATTTTTGCATTCGTCTTGGCTGCGTCGGCGGTGGGAGGATCGGGCGGCCTCCGTCCACCCGGCCTGTCCGTGCCTCGCGCCCGCGTCGCAGGGGCCACTTCAACGTGCCTTGTGCGCTTTGGAATCTTCTGGCAAGCCGATGGTTCGTGGCGTTTTTTCCGAGCTATTTTGGCTTGACGTGGCAAAACCAGCTGGCGCACGAATTTCGCCGGCCGCTCACTTGGCCTCATTTCTGCGAGCGCGCAATCCCAGCTCCAACCTCAGCAACATGCTCACCGACACGACGCTCAAGATCGAGAACGTCCGCGTCCTCCGCGGCGGGAAGCTTGTGCCCACCTTCCTCTGGGTCGAGAACGGCAAGATCATGGACCCGCAAGCGCGCTTCTGGCGCGCGCAGACCGCCGCCGAGTACGGCCCGACGCGCGTCGTCGACGGCCGTGGCTTCATTGTCGCCCCCGGCTTTCTCGACGTCCAGCTCAATGGCGCGTACGGGCACGACTTTACCGACGTGCAGTGTACGCCCGAGAACATCCTCGAGGTGCGCCAGCGCCTCCTGGCGACCGGCGTCACGGCCTTTTGCCCGACCGTCATTTCATCGTCGGCCGAGACGTACGCCGATGTCCTCCCCAAGTTTGCTCGCACGGATGACGGCCATATCGTCGGTGGCGCCAACATGATTGGGCTGCACCTCGAAGGCCCGTTCATCAACCGCGAGCGCAAGGGCGCCCATAAGGAAGAGGTTTTTGTCGAGCCGGAAGAAGGGCTCAAGTCGCTCGAAGCGCGCTACGGGCCGCTGACGCGCGAGACCGTCGCGATTGTCACGCTGGCCCCCGAGCTCAAGGGCGCGCTGTCGGCCATCTCGGAGCTCTCGCAGCGCGGTATCGTCGTCTCGGCCGGCCACTCGTCGGCCAACGTTCAGCAAGCCAAGCTCGGGATGGACGCTGGTATCACCATGCTCACGTACGTTTCTTCTTGCCATTATCCTTTGTTTTACACGCTCGGTAGGCACTTGTTTAACGCGATGGCCTCCTTCCACCACCGCGATCCGGGTCTCGTCGGCCTTCTGGGCGCGACGACCGCTCGGCCGTACTATGGCTTGATCCTCGATGGGATTCACTCGCACCCGACCTCGTGCCGCATTGCGCAGGCGAGCCACCCGTCGGGTCTCGTCCTTGTGACCGACTGCATGGCCGGCATGGGCCTCCCGGACGGCAACTACGAGCTTGCGGGCCTCGCTGTCGACGTCAAGGACGGCCGCGCATACCTCCACAACACGACAACGATTGCCGGCAGCGTCGTGCAAATGGACTCGTGCATCCGCACACTGCGCAAGTACACCAACTGCTCGATCGAGTACGCGCTGGAGGCGGCGACGCTGCACCCGGCGGTGGCCCTGGGCTTGGCACCGACCAAAGGCACGCTCGAGTTCGGCGCCGACGCCGACTTTGTGCTCTTGAACGACGACCTCGAGGTGCTCCAGACGTACATTGCTGGTACCCTCGTCTACGACCGCGGCGATACGCCCCAAGTCCAGTACCTCGTCCACGACGACGACGAGCACGGACCGCTCATGACGCACTACGACTTGGACGACGACCGCGCGATGGACAAGGCAGCGAGCGCCGGGCAGCTGCACTTGCTCACGCAGCTCCACGCCAAGGGCAGCGTCTCGTGCACCGCCCACGCCATGGACATCGCGGCTGCCAATGGGCACTTGGCGGTCGTCAAGTTTTTGCATTTGAATCGGACGGAAGGCTGTACAACCAACGCGATGGATCTCGCGGCCGGCAACGGCCATTTGGAGATCGTCCAGTTCCTCCATGCGCATCGCACCGAGGGCTGTACGGCGTATGCGATGAAGGCCGCGACTGAGAACGGCCACCACGAAGTCGTCGAGTACCTTATCCAAGAGCGCAACTCGCTCTGTATTCAGGACGTCTACTCGCCGCGCGATTAGCTCCAACGTGTTGTGTGTATGCTAAAGTCCCTTCTTTCAATCGTTCTTCTCTTTCCTCTACTTCACAGCTCTACCGACACTACTGTACCGGTGCCGAGCTGGCCCGAGGCAGCTATCGAAGCATCTATTATTTGCTTTGCCGACTCGAGAGAGAGAATCTCGGTCTTTCATCTCACCTGTGCACAATAGCCATGGATACTATAGTGCTACTAGTGTCGATTCCGGGGCTTTGGCTACTCGGTCGCTACTACATGCGTTGCGATATGACGCATCGTAGCTGCTGCATGAATCGGAACCTTAATGTGTGCAAGTTTTGTTGCATACATGCATCATAATGCCACCCGAGAGGTTCTTTCTTTGCTGGACGGCACGCAGGTGCGTCGATGATCCGCGACAGAAACGAGGTGATCGTTCTGGGCGGCAGTCCCTTTTCGTGGCTGCATGGCGGTGAGGCAGTGCTGGGGTCGGACCTCGGTTGATTTGGTAAAGATGCCGCACAAGCAGCGCGCGACAGGCTCGTGTCGGCTCCTAACCATTGCATAAAACAGACAGAGGCTGCAGGTGTCATCGCCGACTCGACTCGACTCGAGTAGTGGCTGCGACATCACGCGATCGTCCAAGGCAGCCACATCACCGTCATCATCATCATCATACCCCACTCGCCCGTCGTCACCACTTGGGTGGCCTTGCCTTGCACTGCCAAAGATCCACACGGCGACGTCACGACGATCCGCTCCTTGAACTTCAATGTGGTCCCGCTCGATGTTGAAGTTTGCCAAAAACATCTGGTTGGGCAAAAGGCGGGACAAACCTGTCATTCCGACCAGGCTCGGCGCCGCGCTGGAGATCGATGACAGAAAGGCTATCCCATCGCTTCTGGCGTGCCGAATTTGTGAGGTAAACAGCCCTTCGTAGGCGGCCCGAAATAAATTGACGGAGCGAGATCTCGTGATAACATCACGGATACTTGGGGAAACCGAGGGCCACGTGGAACAAGGACGAACAATCCAAGAGGGACCTTGAGCGCGTCTCCTCAAGATCTATATATCGTTATTCAACGTCGGACAGTTCCAGTGAGCGCGCTGCAGTAAGCAGTCACACTACAGTATTGGATATATATATATATGAACGTGTTTCGCGTTATCTTCATAATTACACAAAGACTTCGCATACGTAGAGACTAGCAATCTCCTTCTTCTTCATTCGCTCGCCGGTCCGTGGCTGCGCAGGCGGCGGCGCGGGGGCTCGTCTGGCTCTTCTGTCGTCGCCCTACGACGCTTGTGGCCGCGGGTGAGGCCCGTGACGACACGGTCGGTCAAATCTTTCCAGGCGTCGCAGTCGGCGGCATAGCTACGCAGTTTGTCAAGGTCCTCGGAAGACGCCAGCGACTGAGGTGGCGTCAGCGACTGGAGGCCGCGGTGCAGTATTGGATAGGTTGCGGTATTGAAACCACAGCACTCGGACGACGTCCTGACCACAACTAGAACGACTTTTGACACTATAATGAAGATAGTCTTACACTGCATTCGTCGATGAAGAAGCAGGCTCGTTTCGTGATCGTCGGCAACACACGACGCTATAACGAAGCACTACCATCGTCGATCACAGCGCAGGGAATAATTCAAGTGGTGAGCTTTACATCCCCGCCAAGGTTTGAATGGCAGAGGCCCTTGACGCGTTGACCTGGGAAAAACCACAATGATCAGTTTGCCCCATATATCCCACCACCTGGTTTCTTGCCTGCGAAGGGCGCGGACGAGCGTCCAAGCGAACAGGACGAAGAAGAAGAGGCCTCGACATTATCCCACGTTCGGAAGAGACACGATTTTGACATCATACCACTCTAACTACGATCTGCGGACGCCACCGTATGCTACAACACACACATTGAAGCTATTGAAGTCATCGCTCGCCCACCCACGGCTTGGGTGTCCTGGTCTGCACCGGATTTTGGCGCCAAATTGTAAGCCGTCGACATTGCACAATAGATACTTCAAGCGCGCTGGTCGCTGATCGAGGGAAACTCGCAAAAATGAGGTTTTACAGCGCCGGCTATCTCGTATCCTCTCTATTCCAGTCTCTACTCGTATGCAGAGTGGTAGCTATCAGTTGGACGGTATTCTTCACGCTGCCTGACAGACGATTTCGCCCCACAGATTGTCTAGTACACGAGTAGCTTTCGCGTGGCGTCTGGTCACAGCATGAAACAGGCATCAAGAATTATGGTTGGGCTTCAAGAAAGTACAGTGGACTTATGATGGCCCGCCAAATAGAACCGCGACGGACCTTGAACTTGCAAACTTCAATGCTCCGCACCCACAAGCGACTACAGCACCATCGTCTTGAACCATTCTCGAATTTGCTTTTGCTTGCACAATGAGCACCGAAAAGTACGCCGAAGTAAGCACCCCCGTCGGCCACGCCGACCTCGAAGACGCCGGCAAAAAGGTTCACGGCAAGCCCAACTCGTTCGTCCAGATTTGTCTCCTCGGTCTCGTCCTCTTTGGCTGCCCCGGTATGTTCAACGCCATCAACGGCATGGGCGCCGCTGGCCAAGTCGACGCGACCGCCGGCTCTAACGCCAACGTCGCTCTCTACGCGACGTTCGCGTCCTTCTCGATCGTCGCCGGTTCGATCCACAACGTCCTCGGTCCTCGTCTTACGCTCTTCATCGGCGGTCTCCCGTACGTGCTCTACATTGCCTCGCTCCTCAACTACAACCACACGCAGAACGGCACGTTTGTGATTGTCGCTGGCGGTATCCTCGGCGTCGGCGCCGGCCTCCTCTGGACGGCCCAGGGCGCTGTCGTGCTCTCGTACCCGACCGAGAACGAGAAGGGCAAATACATCTCCACCTGCTGGGTCATCTTCAACCTCGGCGGTGTCATTGGTGCGCTCGTGCCGTTCATTCTCAACTTCAACTCGGAGGCTGGCAATGTCTCGGACGCCACGTACATTGTCTTCCTCGTCTTGATGGTGTGCGGTGCCTCCATGTCGCTCTTCATGAAGAAGCCCGATTCGATCATCCGCTCGGACAACACGCAGGTCGACTACCCCAAGTCGGCGTCCGTCAAGGACGAGATCAAGTGCTTGTACGAAGCCATTTTCGACTGGCGCATGCTCTGCCTCATCCCCGCCTCGTTTGCGTCCAACTTTTTCTACGGCTACCAGTTCAACGCGGTGAACGCGCACATGTTTTCGCTCCGCACGCGCGGTTTCAACGGTGTCTTGTACTGGGGCATGCAGATGGTCGGTGCCTTCGTCTTTGGCAACTACGTCATGGACAAGGAGTCCGTCTCGCGTGCGACGCGCGGCAAGGTCGGTCTCGCGATCGCCACGGGTCTCACCTTCCTCGCGTGGATCCTCGGTGTCATCGTCCAGAAGGATTTTACTCGCGACGACCCGAAGCAGAACATTGACTTTACCGAGAGCAGCCGCGCCGCCTTTCCCATGATTGTTTTCTTGCTCTACGGGTTGGTCGACGCCGTCTACCAGAACTACGTCTACTGGGTCATTGGCGCCATGTCCAACGACCCGATGGACCTCGCGCGCTTTGTGGGTTTGTACAAGGCGTTCCAGAGCGCGGGTGGTGCGATCTCGTGGCGTATCGACGTGCTCGAAGTGTCGTACATGACGCAGCTCATCATCAACTGGGCGCTCATGGCCATCTCGTTCCCGTTCATGTACCTCGTCGTCCGCAAGCTCTCCAACTAAGCGATTCGATAGCATCTTGTATCATGCCTAATGACACCATTTTTGCGCTGTTTTGATCGCCTCTTGTTGTTGCTGACTGACGTACTTAGCCGCACGCTATCGCATTGCAAAGTTGGGGTGGAACTTGGATGGCCGGAAGAGTTGTGGATAGTGGTGGTTGATTGGCTTCCTGGCCCTGGCGGTCTTCGCGCAAGCGTTTTGGCGCCTCTGCACACTGGCGCTTGGCGACATAGAGCGCGAGTGAGCTTACTTTACTGCCGCTCAGTGAAAGCCGCGACCCAATAGGGCTTGACGGACAGTCCATCGATCGTTCTTCTTCAGCGGTCGATGCTTCGATCGATTCCACGGGTAGCTGCCAGCCTTGCCACACGCATCAACGCGAGCTACGGTCTCGCGATCCTCATGAGCAATGCGCACACTAGGCAGTACATGATGCTCAAGAAGTTCGTCGTGATCTATGAGCTCCTGTAGGGTAGTGATAACTGGAGACTCTACGAGCCGCCATATCGGGTCGCACACAGGGCATTACTATCGACGAAAGGTAGCAGCATCATTGTGTAAGCACATATTGCTGGGTTGATGATCTCCGCGAGTAAACGCTCGAGTTCAATGCCCAGCACTCTGGACTCGCCGCCAACGATTCTAATTGGTAAAAAACCAGAGCGGGCCAAACTGACCAGTGCGGGTGTTGCGTTCGTGCAGTGAACACACGCATTGGCTACAAGGCTTTTACGCTCGTTCATTGGTAGTAATTAGTTTAGAGATTAGGTACCACAGGGGCATACAAAAAGCAGCATGAAAACCAGGAAAGACATGTTTCAAGGAGCACCCGCCATGAGTTCCCGCCATGCACAATTGCCGCGCGCAGAGTACCGCTTGCTCAACACTGCTACGTCACATTGAACTTCCTTCTTCTTCTTTTCTCTTTCTTCGATTTAACAGGTACACGTTTGTTATAGTCCCACCATGTAAGGGCATGGGTCATTCAATACCCATGGTAAGGGGTATTCGTCACTTGTTCTATGTGTGACCACGAACTCTGATCAAGATCGGCTAATGTTGAAATCCCACTTCTTCAGGATGATCATCGAGCAACTGTCTTGTGCCTCAAGTTGGCTTTGACAGCAGAGGATTGGGAAGGAAGTAGCGCTCCCTTGTGGCATGACGACGTAGAGCATGGGACCCACGTGTCCGGCAGGCAGATCCAATTCCGGGTCAAGTGCCCGGTCCGAACGAAAGGCAAATGGCTTGAAGATCCTGCCGCAGCTTGAGAACATTGCATCAATGGCCCCTGCAGTGTATATACTCAACTGGTAAAACGATGTTGCTCTCCTGCCTGCGCTATCCATTTGTAAATTGTGCCTTGGAATCGACAATACTTATTGCTGTGATGTGAGCGGTGCAAGCTAGCGGCGCAATGCGACCACACGATACACAGTATGTGATTTGCCTGATTTTTACGATCACAATCAATGTGCTGTTTTCATAGCAGGTATACGGTCATCCTCCCCCTCTTGCGATGGCCAACGAAGGACCCATAACCACTGCAATAGCCGCACCGCTCAAAAAGGTTCCCAACTGCAAGCTACCACGTTGGACTTCATTTTCT